AGGAGATTGATTTTTCTAACACCTACACCCAACGTAGTCATCGAAATGTGGTAAAGAAATAAAAAAATATATGACCAAACACCAACGTGGGAGCAAGCCGTGCTCATAGCACGGGGAGGAGGAGTGATGGGCGCGGTTAGCAGCGTTCCCGCTCACGATGATTGGCAGGGGGCGGGCAGACGCTGCCCGGTTAAAAAGGGAGCGCGCCAAAACAACGGGGGGGACCCGCGTAATATCGGAGAGGACTGATCACCCTCGCCGGAGGTCCTGCGTCCGCGAAACCTTGGACGGCCCCATCACAATTTGGTATACCACCCGAGTATGCTCAAGAGCTCCTGAGGAATCGGCGAATTAGATTCCAAACACAGCTGTACGAGACTGTTGCCTGAATAGTGAGTAAAAGCAATTTTTTCTTATCTCACTGCCTCCCCGGTGTGTTTCTGTCGACGGAGGGAGAGACAGAAGAAGGAGGAAAGGCCCGAACCCTTTTGTCCCCGACCTACTCGAGTGGATTGGGCTCAACCTTCCATAGTTAGGTTGCACACGAAAGATCCCTGATGACACCATAATATCCACACTAGGGTCTTAATGTAGTAAGGCACGACACTGTAAGTAAATAATATGAAGACACAGAAGCAGCTTACTTGCATTTAGGAACAAATGCAAAAGATAGTTATCAACGTGTGTGTTTGGAGATGCAATTAACAAGTTAAAAATACAGTCATTTTCCAAAACAATTTGCAGTATTTGTGGAACATGTAGTAGCTGAAGCTGACCCAGGGACACCTAAATTGTTTCCACAAGTGTTTTTGCTTGGGTGTTGCAATGCCCCCAAATTAGATGCTTTCCCTCTAGGTACCTAGGCCCGTATCCAGTCTAACTGTTCCCATTACCACTTCCCCAGACTAATCCAGAGCACCTAGCTGCAGAGCAGGGAGGCACTAAGAGGAAACGCTAGGCCCAATGGTGTGTGTGAACTCCAGGGCTAGAGACACACATTACACTTAACCAGTTTAAGTGATCAGAAACTTGTTTAAACCTGTAACAGAACAGACATTCAGTGTGCATAAACCAGTTTGAAAATGGCTGAAACTGGTTTGAGATAAACCTGGTTGAATGTAGTATCAGGCTTAACTGATTTGGCTCAAACCGGTTTATGCAATGTCTGTCCCAGACCCCTTCCTGTTTTAAGTTAAACCAGATTCCCCCAGCATCCCAGCATGCTCTCTAGGCTGGGCTCTTTGCTCCAGCCCAGTTGGGCTGGCCCCGCCTCTCTGCTCCTCAGCCTAAGCAGGGACAGGCAGGGGTAGAGATCTGGCCAGAAAGGGGTTTAATTCCCCCCTCCCTGTGCCACCAGCAGGGACCCATGTCAGGTCTGCTGGATGCTCTTTTCTCACTGCTTCAGCAGCAGGGTACCATGGCCCCTGAGGCAGAGAGGGGCAGGGAGGAGGGTTAGTCTCCCCTCTACAAAACTGGCAGCTGGGTCAGCCCACCCTTACTTCCACACACACTCCCTGCAGGGGAGTAAGTTCCCTGCAGTCCCCTCCAGCAGACTCTGGAGGGAAGTGGAATAACTCCCATCCCTGCCCCCCACAAGACCCTTGGAGGCCGGTGTCTAGCCATGCCCCCACCCAGTGGCTGCAGCAGGAGGGGGCAGGGCCTTTGGTGGGGGCAACAGTCCCTGTCAATGCTGGGGAGCATGAGCCACTTCCCAGCATGGGGAGGCCCACTGCGGGGTGGGCAGAGCTGTTGTGGGCTGCATGCAGCAGCACTGGTCAGAGCCCACCTGCTTCCCCCAGTGCTGCCATCACCACCCACAGCAGCTTTCCTTGCCCCGCAGCTCCCCGCCTCGTCCCCGTCACAGTGGCTCCCCCCTCATCGCACAAGCACCTGGGCATGGGCATGGCCAGATACTACCAACTGCACAGATCCAGCCCATGGAGGGGCTTTGTCTGGCTCCTGGTGGGTCCCTCAGTGCCACCGGGTTGAGGCACCACTACCTGGGCACGCAGCTGGGCTGGGGCTGCTCTGCGGCAGGACTGCCTTTCTAGGCAGTATGGCCACCGCAGCTCATTTGCTGGTGCTGCTGGTCCCAGCCCTGTGGTACATGCAGGGACCAGTGCGCACAGCCTTGACCCCATGCCCCCTGCACCATCTCCAGGCTCACCCATCTGGGCTGAGCAGCAGCGGCAGAGAAGAGAAATTGCTGCTCACTGCAGGTGAAAAATCGGCCCCTCCCCCTCCTACTGTCAGCGCTTCCTGCTGCAGCTGCCCAAAGCCCACATGGGGCTGCCCAGCCCACCCACTGCCACTTCTGTGCTGGGGCAAACCTCCTCCCAGCAGGAAGGGACTTATTCAGCCGCCGGCCCCAAGCACAGGCTGAACAGCGGCTGCGGCCAGGCGAGCAGAGCCTGCTGCAGTGCAAGCCCCCTCCCAGCAGGAGGAGCTTATTAAGTTGATGGCACCTAGCGGCCCAGCCACAGGGAAAGCTTGTTGTGGGGCTAATGGGAGGGGAGCAGCCACTGGCTGGGAGCCCAGAGGCTGAAAGTTAACCCCTCCAGGACTGCAAGTGTGTGGGGCCAGCAGCGGAATAAGCCCCCTCTTGCTGGGAGAGGACTTTCCCCAGCACAGAATGAGTGTCTGGGGCTGGGCTCTGCCCCCACCCAGCAGCAAGCAGTGAGTGACATGACAGGCAACAGCCTGTCACTAGTTTCCCAGAGCACAAGCCCCTACCCAACAAAAGGCTGCACTGTGGGGCCCGCAGAGCTGCTGTGGAGTGCAGTGGTGCTGCGGGGGCATAGCTAGGCAGGGCGCCTGGGCGGGGGGGGGGCAGGATATCCCTCCCCGCTCCGGCCTCTGGTGAGGGGACAGGTAGGGAGTGAGTGCTGCAGCGACAGCAGACAGACCTGGTTGCCAGTGGGGGTTCAGGGTAAACTAACTCTCCTCTGCCTCAGGGGCCATGGTGCCCAATGCTGCAGCAGCAAGGGGGGAGCACTGAGCAGACCTGGCTCTGGTCCCTGCCTGTGGCACAGGGAGGGGGGAATTAAACCCCTCTCTGGCCAGTTCAGCCTGGGTTAGCCATGCCCCTCCCATCACAGCTTCCCTGTAGCTGAGGGCATGCTCTAGCACCCCCCGGCACCTGGCCTGAGCAACAGCAAGCATGTGCCTGCATTGCTTCAGTCCAGTGTGAATGTCTGTCCTGTTACAAACCGGTTCATCCTAGGCAGGTTAGACTAATCTGCAAAGGTTGAATCAATTTAGACTCTGGCTTTTTGAACATCTGTCCCTAGCCTGTGGGTACTCTGCTTTATACTGCACTCAGTGCTGCTGGTATGAGCTAGGCACATTCTATGAGCGCCTAACATAGAACTGTCATGGTCATTGCCAACATGCCACTTTTATAGAAACATAGATGAGTATGTTTCAAGATACTAAATATGAATAAGTCTATGTAATTTTCCATAGTAAAATCCATAGTATTGTGCTACAGATGGGTTTCTCTTGCTTGCCTAAGTCAAAGTGGATTTGGGGAACTATACCCTTTATTAATCCAGAGATGTCAGTTCTTGGTTTTCCATTACTAGCCATATCTCAAAAATCCTTTGCTCAGAAAAGTGGATTCATTGTGCTGCAAGATATTCACATGAAGCACTATTTCCTTATTTGATAAGTAATACATATTTTTTCACTGGTGTAGTCAACAGCTTAATAGTAGCAATATCATGATTTGCAAATCCTAAAGACCACGGTAGGTAAAAGTTAGTGGATTCACATAAGTTTTGTTTCTACAGGTCCTGAGCTTACGTACATAAAATCTGAATTCATCTGATACATAAAACGGGCTCACAAGTGGAACTAGTGAACGGGAAACAACCATCAAACTGGAAGGCCTTTTCAAAATGGCAGAAGGGCAAGATGACTTATTCTAATTTAACAAAACTTTGGTCATGTTTATAAGTGTGTGTGTGTGTGTGTGTGTGTGTGTGTGTGTGTGTGCGGGGGTGGGGGGGTGAGATGCAACAATGTACTTTGCCACCTAACATTATATTCCCAACTGTTTCATACACTGCAGTCATCCTGCACTCTTTCAGTTGCCTTGGAAACACAATGGGAACAAACACAATTTAGACCTTAACGTGAACCCTGGAAAGATACAAAGGTGACCTGGCCAGTGGCCATGTACTTAACATGTGATGAGTGAATGGGAATGTTTGGGTCTGGAAATGCTGGCACTTTCCTGTGTTTACTGAGAATGAAACTGATTAAATAGAAACTATGCATAATAACCTATCTGTCTATCTTCTTTAAAGGAGCATGCACATTTGATAACTACAGCATGAGAATACTACCTTAAAAACTGGTTCATTCTTCTACACTTATTTGTTGACCTCTAAAGATCTACATTAACTTCTGAAGGGCTGTTGTACGATTTAACATAAAATTAATGTTTCTGGATGAAGAGATAATAGCTTAAGAGGAAATAGCTTTACAACTTTTGGAACAGAAGTGACAGTACAGAAGAACAAAGCAGCCATCCTTTTTCTTATAAAACAGCCACAGTTGATATAATCTAAGATACTCCTGTCCACTGTCTCCAGACTTGAATTTTGAAGTTGAAGGGTTCAGAACTTACTTCTCCTAGTATTTTATCTCACCCTTGGGCGCTTACTTTAAAGGACAATGCGCAAGGCTTAACTTTTCAAGTACAGGAAGTATTTGACCTGCTGTAACTATGGTATTTTTTTCTGTCCGGTTGCCTACCTGATTACTGCTATCTAGTATGAGAGTTTCTAGATTATTCTTTGCTTTAGTTAACAGAGAGGCTTTCATAATGGAAATGCATTAAGTTACTAAAATACATTAAACTAGCACAAGACAAGCTTGAGAGTAAATTTAGCAGGGATCATGAACTTGTTATTGGCCCTACTACCCTTGGTAGTCCTTTCCCCTTTAGCCAGTACAAGGTTATCAATTTTTCTTGCATCATTTCTTTTCAACAGTGTGATTCAAGGTCTTCATCCTGCCCCCAGTGAAGTCAGACAAAAGGAGCAGTGAACCAATGGAAAGCACAACAGGACTCAGGAAACCAGGAAGAAATGAAAACTTATGCAGAATGAGAAACAACAGACTGAAGTGAGGCCTCCCACTTTCTTATCTTTCAGTCTAAGAATTCAACAAATACATGCTAAATTAACACATTGTATATTGAAGGAGAGCTCTAAAAGTGTACTTAATAACCTAAAATGCACCATATTATGAAAGGAGGGCATTTAAAGATTAAGATAAGAATAATTTATGGTCATATATTTTCTCTGTATTCTGATGCCAAATAGAGGTTAACACACTAAAGGACTAATTTATGGCTTTGCCATACTGGGGTTGGAGAAAAGCAGCACCATAGAAACACTAAACCTGACCAGAAAACTATACAAAATCCACTGGGAAGCCAGTTTATGAGTGCCAGTTGTTATAGTGGTTGCTGATGACTGTTGATTGGGAGAACTGAGGGCTCTTTGGTTTCTGAAGCTCAAGCAATCAGTATTTCACCACTTCTTCATTTACAACCAAATCAACCAAAAAACTGTTCCCCCCTGTGAAGTTTAAATATACTTCACATGTGTGTACCTGTCATTTTTGACACCAAAACACCTCACTTCTCCATTGGAGTGACAACATTCAGACAGCAGAGCGAGCTGCACCCTCCTATAACAATCAAGTTCTTCTCAGTAGCAACCTCTTAAATTAAGTGGTTCTGCTTACCATAGCTTGCATCATGCATTGCACATAATTATTAGAGAAAATCTAACTTGCTGATGAGATAAATTGAATACTAAAAGATAAAGGACAGTATTTGTAAAATCTGTGCAATTCTCCTCATGTTACAAATGAGGAATTCTTCAAAGATTTAAATTTTGCATCAGAAAGTATCCATTTCTTGAAACTAAAAATGTTTGAGGGACAGTATTACTGGTTTGGAAAACAAGATTAATCCCTTTCCCAAAATAAGTAATAGGCTAGTAGCTAGGATGCATAGTGAGGGTGTAAGGCACCTTGGCTCAAATTCCCACTCTGTCTGAAGACCTGGACAGAGATTTATTAATACCACTGTAGCTTATATCAATGTTGTATTTCAATGTAACTTTCCACGGTATCCACGGAAGACAAATAACCAGTTCTCCCCAAGTGGCTGCTGCAACAGGCACAAATATAGGACCTCACTAATCTGTGAGTGAAAAGCTGGCTACTGCTCGTTTGCACACAACACATACACTGGTATAACTTAAAGTGGTATAATTTTATCCCTAGTGTTTCCCAGTGAAATTCTAGTACTTTATAGTGGCATAGAGCTGTCTGTTGTGTGTCCACTCCTTCCCTACATCACTGTAAGACAAGGTACATCAGGATAAACCTGTGTTTGCAGGCTTCACTTAGATCAGGGAATCTGTCTCCCATCTTGGCTGAACACCCTCAACACTTGGATGCAACATAAATTTAATTTATTTAGACATGGAACTGTTCCACTAGTTAAAGTGGATAGAGACCCATGTAAAAATAGCAGATAATCTGGTAATGAGCCAGTCCAGAAAAATCAGGCCATTAAGAAAAAATCTCAATCCATATAGGACTCATCTGAGTAAAGGGCAACAAAGAAGGAAAAGGAGAGTACCATTCACTGGCAGACTGAAGATTGTTTTCGTATTTATAAATTAGCTTTTTCAAACTTTATAATGCTTTGGTCAATGTTAAGCTTATATTTAACCCAGTTTTATGGCTGCATACCTTTTTCTTTTTTTAATCACCATAATTTATGAGGCATTTTTACCTTAAGTTGCTGACACAAGAACTTTTGCCCTTAATAACAACTTGGTTTTTGTCTCAGAATGTACAATTAGAGACAAAATGCAACACTTTCACACAAAAAATGCACGTTCCTTTTAATTTATCTGGGTCATGAAGCAACCGAAAGTCACAGATTAACAGATAACAATTTTATTTAACTGGGAATTCCTGGGCATTTAAACATGTACTATGGGAGTGGGCAGTGGGGAACTTTAATTACACCGGCTCTGAGATACTAAATGTTAGAGATAACTCAACACAATTAAGGAGTAGTATAAGAAAGGAATATGTAGTATGCATATTTTATATATATTAAATATATATTATAAATATATATAATATATTTTATATATAATTTCAATTATATATATATATATATAAAATATTTCAATATTTCAATTTATATATATATAAAATCAGTGCCAAGATGTCCATCTATTTCTTTTCCTGTTCTGAAAAAAATTGATAATGGAAACTTTTAAACTCCGTTGGCGATGTGAATCTAAATTTAAGTTTGTAGCAATTTCTGAAACAAGTAAACATAGATTTTTCCAAACACAGAACATTTTAAGAATGTTACTCATGCTCCAAGATTTAAAATTTTTCTAGAAATATTCCAGAGTTTAGTCTAGAAATATAAAAAGTTTTGTTTGATTCAAAAAGACTTTCTTATTGAGTACAGAACCACCCACCCCGCAAAAAACTGAAATAGTGTTAGGATTCACCAGCCGATATTTTATCAGAGAAAAAGTTGTTACCACAAGATTTGCCAAAAATAATAACTAATGTTGTAGAAAACATTGGAAATGACATTCCATGCCCCCTACAAAGAAGTTTTAGGCCTTAAATTATAACCATTTCAAATACTGCGTTTAGCTTGGCTTGGGGTACACATTTAATGATAATTTATGAAACTTCTTATGAGCCATCCCTTCGATCCTTTTGCAAATTTTTTACTATTTTGACATCCATTTAAACAAAATCCATTAGATTAAAGCATTACTTTCTTATATGTATCATTGTACAACTTTAGAAATAGTTTCATTAACATGAATGAGATTATATGATGATAATACCAGTTGATATATGAGGAAGGTTAAAATAATCTTGCCCATCATAATCTGATAACACAAAAGGAACTTTTGGACATTATGGGCATGTCTAGACAAGCGCGCATGTGCCTCTTGCCCCATCTCAAACCCCTTTGAGATGGGGCAAGAGGCACGTGTGGGAATGAAAAAATGTTCCCCGTGCTGCAAACGTGCAGCGCAGGGAGAAAATTAGAACCCCGGATATCTAGGGGCCTAAAAAAACTGATGTTTAAAAAAGCTGGGCAGGGCACGGTTGCCCTGGGGCAACTGGAGGCTGGGTCCTCCATGGAGATGCTCTGGCTGCTAGAGCATCTCTGTGATTGGCTCCTCGCCCGGAGTCCAGTGCTGGTAAGTAAGGGGCCAGCGTGGCTGGAGGAGGGGGGAGGGGGCCAAGGGGGGGACCCTCTCTGCTCTCGATCCCTGCTCTGTCTGTCCCCACCCCCCACCTGCTCTCCCAACCCACCCTGATCACTTTCCTGCCCAGGCCCGGAAGATATCACACTTAGCTTAGATATCTAATTGGTAAAGTAAGATTTGACCCCACATTTGAATTTTATCCTTAAAAAAATTAAATGAACCCCTAACTTCACCCCCCCCCATGCATTCCACCCCCCCCCCCCTTTCTGGCGGGGGATTTCAACCCCGATTTCTGGCTGGGTATTCAGCACCTTTCAAAATCAGGCCTTTTACGTGGGCACTTAAATAGCGGGTTAGAAGATTAACTTCAGATGCCCATTTATAAGAAATCTTAGCCAAGATTTCAAAATAATGCTGATGTTGGACTTTTATAATGCTTGCAGACAGAGAACCCAGACAAAGACATATTCTGTTTTTAATCTTTAACCAAGTCTACATTCCAGGAAATGCCAAAACCTTCTTGAATCTCTCTGATTCATTCACATTCAAGATTCAAATTCTCACTCTTTTTTCCCCCCCAAGAAGGCTCAAGAGAGGTAACTGGGTTCTCATTAGGTAGCACCATGAAAATGATAATGGTGGTCTTTGTTTAAATGGGAATGCATGATGGTGTCTACAGAGTAAAATGAACCTACTGACTCATTTCTATTTTATTTCTCTCCCTCAGGAAAGAGGATGGATGGTGGCCTAGAGCATGGCTGAGAAAAGGAGAATGGTTTGGATGACAAGATGTTCTGCAGCCACACGGTAGGGCAAACAGAGGCTTTGGGAAGTAGAGGTAACAGTGAAATGAGTGTTCCAAGCAGTGGAAGCAGTGTTTTACTAAAACATCAAATACCTCAAAATTTGTATTCAAATTAGAAGAATTAGAAACATAAGAATTATGATATTGGTACTAATCTCAACAAGAGCAAGCAGCAGTTAAGAGGGTGGGTTGATGGAATTCATGTTGGTGGTATGTCTTAAGGAGAATTATGGGTGGAGTTGGAATGAGACGGAGAACCTATGGAGACATAGAGGTTTATAATGTAGCATCCCAGCCTGTGACCCTGCCATGCTAGCTTGGGAAAGAGAACATTACATAACTTGGTAGCAATTAATTGATAATCCAAACAACATAAAGTTAGAATCCCTGCCAACAAAAGCCTGTACATCCAGGTCTTAATTTTTTTTTTTATTAAAATGTAGTTAAATAAACAGCAGTTCATTATAAGGTTATGTTTTAATCCAGAAATGCATTAACCTGTTTCTAAATTTGTTTTGATATCTTCTGTCAATATTCCTATGAAATATTTACTTTACAAAAGCAAAAGCAGCATAACATCCTTTTCAAGTATTAGGTAACAAGGGGAAAACCTATGAGAATAACGTATTTGTTAAGCATTTGTTTAATGTGTTCTGCTTTAGCCAATATCTTGTCAACTCCTACACTGCATTGCAAATAGGCTGGGGAAAGACAATTTTCACAACAGAAGCCTAGTTGATCCTGCTGACCAGTGAGAGTAGGTATTGCTCCCTACCTCACTAGCAGAAGCAGTGCAAGTTGTGTAGGTGCAACAGTCAGCCACTTCTTGGGGCTGCTTCATTGACCAATTAAAACAAAACACCCAAGAAGCTACAACTCCAGGCTTGACTGGTTGTATGGTTCCTCCTTTAGGGCTGCTTATCCCCAAATCCTAGATTGCTCTGGCTACTGTAGCCCTTCCCTTAATCCAAAATGCAGAAATATGCTGCACATGCGACAGTGAGTGAATCAGATTCAGTTAGCATCTACCTGCAAGCTTCCTAGCACCTGCTAATGGGAAAAGCCAAGGAAAAAAACCTCAGCCATCCAGCTAAGATCTTGCTCACCTAGGCATTTTCCAGCTCCACACTTAATTACTTTTCAACCAGGTTACTCAGAGGAAAGCAAAAGGATTGGTCTGTAATGCTATGAAACAGCATTAAGGCCTTGTATAAAAATATGCAATCAGAATAGGGTTTTTTTTGAGAGATTACACATATTAGTGTAGAGGTCATACATATCCTTAACTCTTCAGAACAAATCCAGTTTGGTTCTGGTGGCAATTTAAGCATTCAGTTTGTTCCAAAACCTTTTTTGACACTTTGGTTACTGATAGGATTCTGCCTTTAATAACCAGAACAACCCTGAAAAGAAATGTGAAAAAAGTCCTTTAGTCCTTTAGTCACTTACTCAAATGTTTTTTTCTTTTGCTCTTTTTGCTCAGTAATTTTAACTGATACACTGATTTTCTTGTAGGCTCTTATTTCTGAAAAAATAAATGCAACTATATATACTCCTTGTAAATATGCCATCATATTAGATGGAAGGCAGGGTAGATCTGCACCTTGTAGACTAACTAAATCAGAGATACATATAGCGTAAACAGGGCTGGATTAACGCATAGGCAAACTAGGCACATGCATAGGGCCCCAAGTGAAAAAGGGGCCTACTTGTGCTTATTTTACATATTATAATTATTGAGTGAAAAAAGTAATATAAAAATTTCATCTTCAGCTGGGGGCCCACAAATTTGTTTCCCTAGGGCCCACTAAAGGGTTAATCCAGCCCTGAGCATGAGCTTTGTTGAGCCTAAGCTCACTTCATCAGAGCTGTGAGAGGACCTGCATAGAGCTGTGTATAAAATGGAGAGAGTGATTTCAATACAAAAGGCAGGAATGGAGGGAGGGGACAGGCTGGGCCGAGGGGGACCTGTATTGGGGGAGGCTAAAAAAGCAAGCAGTAAACCCGTAGGAACAGTGGGGCAAGGTCTACATGAGAAACATTACTGAACAGTTGACTAATTCACTGCATGGTAAAACGTCACTGTCTACACATGCAGACACTTACTCAGAAGTCAATTAGCCAACCGCAGGGTTAATTTGTTACTGGGGCCAAGAGCTGCCTGCTGCCAGGCCAGGGGGCCACTGTCTCAGCCCAGGCTCTGAACTCTGAGCCGGCCCTGGCAGCGGGCAGCTCCCGACGGCAGGGAGCTCTCTCTCGGTTCCCGTTCCAGGAGCTGCCTGTTGCCAGGGCAGGGGGATATTGTCCAGGCTCAGAGCTCAGAGCCTGTCCCAGCAGCAGGGAGCTCCGGCCGGGCAGGGAGCAATCTGCCAGCCCCTGCTCCAATTGCGGAGCCAGGGCCAGGAGCTCCCTGCACCAGGAGACTTCCCTGGGCTACACAGGGCTTGTCTGCATATGCATGGGGCAGGAAAGCTCTGCAGCAGCAGCTCTTCCACCCCATGCACATTAGGACCCCTCCTGATATATATGGGGCCAGGAGACAACTGTTTCCTGCCAGCTCCTGGGCTAGCCTGGAGCTCCTCCTGGCTGCTGCAGGGGGGTAGAGCAGGGTGAGAGCAAGTGTAGATGTGCTCCCCCAGTAGGCTTACTAAGCAGTATTTTTACTATGCCATATGCCTACCGCAAATTAACAGCATGTGTAGACGTGTCTAAGGGGTCACAAAGCTAATTCAGGTAATGGGATAAGAATCCATAGCGCCTACTTAAACCCTACTTAACACAATCCAGTCTGTGGATGATTTCTTGTTTCGCAGCTTCCCGTTCAAGTTTCTTTTTAAAGTTTTGCTGCCTAAGAGCCACCCTAAAGTCAGCAATGGAAGAGCTTGGGAGTTCAGAATGTTCTGCCACCGGCCTGTGTGTCCTTCTGAAGCTGATGTCACGTCTCTGTTCATTCATTTTTACATGTAAGATCACCCATCAGCCCAATACAAGCAACAGGGGGGCACCATATCAGGTGCACATGGGCATATTCTCAGACTTATTGGTCTCCTGCCTCCACTTTGGATTCTGTAGAATTTTCCAGAAGGATAGAACAGTCAAGAAGGCTAGCTAATCAGATTCTTTGCATACTGTTCAGGGGGTGAAATGAAGAAGAGGAGGATATCAAGGATGGCTTCCTCAGTGGAATAAAGGGTGGAAAGATATCCATATGACAGAATTCTGAAAGTCAAGACAAGAAGTTTAGACACTCTGGCAGTCAGCAACAGTGGCTCAAAATATATTTGTGTACAAGATCACAAAAATATTGAAAGGAAATATTTTATCGGCAGAATTCTGAACAGACGTGGGGGTGGAAGTTACGTATTAAAGACCCAAGGGGAAAAGTCAGCAGATGATTAGCATACTTCTGAAAGGTTTGGTATAGAAATAAATGGTTGGACCTTTGGAGTGTTGTGCAGTAAAGAACAGAACTTAGGTGATTGTCTGGTTGTGGCAGGGAAACTGATGGAAAAGTTGAAGACAAAAATCATGTTACAGGGCTCAGTTACTATGGGCCATCTTAGTAATAAAGGATTTTAATAAACCATTATAAGGTAAGATTTAGGACTCTGTTGAGACAAGATGATGCTAAGAAACTCAAGAAATCTACTGCAGTTAAAAGGAGAAAAAGAAGGATGGTTTCTATAATCATGAAGTCACACAGTTTCCAAAAGAAAAATATTAGACACATCACAGAGTGGCAGCAAGTCTGTTACATGCAGATATACACTTTTTGGCCTAACTTAAATACATCAGTGGGACAGTTGATCAAAACATGTCATGTTTGTACTTTGTAGCACAGTCAAAATCATCAACAGTCCATGGTACTAGTTCATGTTGTGCCTAACAGAGCTTGGCAACTGTTTGATTTGCACACAAAGAAAAGCAATAGCTGCTGATGGTGCAGTATTACAATGAGCTTTTCTTTTTTTTTTTTTTTTTTTTTTTAAACTAGGCTGAGTTACACAATGCAACCATTTGGCAAGCACTGTGGTGAATCACAGCAAAACAGTATTTGCCAGAGAGACTCTCTGATGAGCTCATTTTGACAATGTATCACAGTGGGAATCTGTACCCAAAATAAGCAGCCTGCGTTAGCCATGCATTAGCCTAAAAATATGTCCACGTAGTTAAGAAAATATCAGCTAGAGCAAACTACACACTGCACTCGCCATTTTAAAAGAATCTCAGTAGACCAGCCATTTCAAAACCTATGTTTCCCTATAGTAAATTTCGGCATGAATAATGGTAACCCAGGTAAAAAATTTAACTATTTCTCAGCAATCTCTTTAAATACTGAAATATATCTATTGAATCAGGGCCCCTCCTGAGAATAAATACAAAGGAGCAGACAGTCTGAATTTGTAATGACTGCAAAGAAAAGTTTCTTTTGCTATCTAAGGTAGTAATTCATGAGAGAGAGAGAGAATACGCCATGTGAGACAGTGAACTACCAGAGAGGAGGAGTTTTAAACTCACTGAAAACTTTTCTGAAAAACAACAGAATAAACATGGTAAAAAATGACCACTGATATCCAGGCACTATGAAAAAGCTGAATTATTCAAATCAAGTGAAAAACAGACAGCAGGCAGAGTATTCATAGGAAATACCACCCACAGAGAGAATATTCTTGTCAACACTGATACAGGGACTTATGAGATAACAAACTTTTGCTGGATAATTAGGTTTCCAATAAGCAGGTCTCCCAGCAACCAACCATTATAATAGCCTAAACACCAGAGAGCAAAATTCAGTTGCTTCAAATCTGTCTTTGGGCCCCACGATGCTTAACATGGTCATTTTCCTCCACAAAGACCAGGTCTACATAAGACGCTTATTGTGCAGTAGCTCATTACAACTGCACAGTAGTATTGTATGGCACAAACCATGATACAACGCTACTGTGCAGTAGTAATGAGCTACTGAGCAGTCAACGTCACCAAGAAGCTATGCAGGGATGCT